GCAGATGAACGCTGTCCTCTTGGAGCAAGGAGGAGGAAGGCAACAACGGAGACCACTGCGCCCTTTGTTCCTCCTGGGGAAATGTGACAGTGAAATTCTAGGTGGACAGCATCTCCAGACCTTGTTGTTGAAGGCCCTCACTCCATCTTCCTCCGCAGGACCTTCTCAGGGGCTCTCGGAGCCGTTCCCCGGCCGTTTAGCCCTGCCTCAGCCCCAAAGGCAGTGCTTTATACCAGACACCTATCTCTGCTCTGCCTGCGTGTGCCTCCACGCTGCGTTCGAGGCTGCTGGAGTTTCTCTCTCAAGCAGGAATCCAACACCTTTGTTCCTTGTTCCTGCTTGCATTAACACCCGTGTTACGGTTTGAATCCCTGTGACCGTTTGTTTCTCTGACCTGTCACATCTGCGGCTTCAGATGGGAGGCCGCAGACGAGGAGGTTTGTCTGGGCCCAAACGTCTCTGCTGTTGCTTGAAACGTTGCCAGCACGTGTCCTAAAGCTGCTCAGTGTCTGTTGCTTTGCCCTTCTCCCTTTAATTTACTACTTCCTCATCTACGGGTTTTAGCTGAGGAGCGATCTGACTCCTGGAGCTCCTCCCCTGTCAAAGTACGTCAGGTCGTCCAAGCATGGCGAGCTGTGTTGGGGCAGTTTGGGGGCTTGCTGGGAGCAAAGTGCTGCTCAGGAGCTCGCAGCATGCAACGGCCTCTTGGTAACACCACCGCCTCCCGGATGAAGATCTCTGCCAGCACGGACCCGGGCTCTTCCTGGCATCCTCCCAAGAGGGATTTGCTCACAGATAAGAAAGAACAAAGAGGGGGAAGGCGCTGTTTTGGGGTGTGCCATGGATGGCTCCCTTGGTCCCGGTCAATGCGAAGCCCCAGTTGGAGCGGTGGCTTTAAGCAGCCGAGCTCTCCTCGAGACCAGCCTGGCATGGAGCTCGGATCCTGTTGGAACAGGGTTTGCTTTTGTGTCTGTCCTGATGGGAAGCGCTGCCGGCTGGGCACGCGGGGAGGAACTTGCAGGAAGAGCAGTCGTTGCCTGGCGTCCGTCCCGGGCTCAGCTCCCAGAGCCCCAGGCGAGGACACATGTGGGCTCTCGCTCTGACTGTTAGTATGTACAAAGTTGGATCACGCCTTTCTGGATGGAGCAAAACTGGATGTGTGTCAGGAAGAGCCTTTTCCCCTCGCTGGGGAGATGCAGGGAAGAGCCGTGGTCTTGGAAGGAGGATGCAGAGGCTCTCGAGCTGTTTTCTGAAGTGCTGCTTTTCTTCAAGCTCGCTCTCCAGCCCAGCTGCTTCTTGCAGATCCATCCTGCGATTTATTGCTCCCCTTGTTTCTCCTTTCTGCTACCAGCCTCTGATTTCTGGCCTGCCTTTCCTCAAGAAGGGGCCTTTGGCAGGCGGGGAGGCTCCTGTCGTGCCAGCGAATGTCCATCGGGAAGCCTTCCAGCCTCCCGTTGGATGCGGCTGAAGCTGACTCTCAGCAGAGCTCCCCAAATGCGAGCGGCCTGTGCGTTGACCTGGGATGAACTGCTAAACCGCAGCCAGCCCCGTTCGTTCCTTCGCCTTTGGCAGGGAACAGAAACAAGCTGTTTTCTGTCCCGTTTCCAGGCAGCTCCGCTCGCTCTCCGCAGGGAAGGCTGGACACGGTCCAGCTCGTTCCTCAGAGCCGAGCTTGCGAGGTTTTGCCCTTTGTCCACCCCACTGGCAGGGGAGGATGAGGCCGTGCCCGGAGGGGATGGGGCAGCCGTGCTGCCCTCGGTGAAGAGCAGTGGACGAAGAGACAAGGCGTTCTGTTAGCCAGGAAGGAGCTAAGGACGGGCTCCTTGGTTTGAGCCGGTCTGATAAAATTACCTGAATTTAAACCCCTTGCATCCTGCTAATTTTCAGGGCTTCCGAAGTGTGACGGAGGCTGGCTTCACCCCGCCGGGGCTGCAGTGCTGCTCCGTGACTCAGCTGGAGGTTTAAGGCTGTGCCATGCTTGCGTGAGTTGGGTCTTCGGAGCTGAGGGTCCCCCGGACAGGGATGCGGTCGCTGGGTGAACACACGGCAGAGGCTCGCC